GGCGGGGTGGAGAGGGCCGAGAGGGCCGAGAGGGCTCGGCAACACGTCGCTTTACGACCATTGCCCACAATGTCGTGTGCTCGCAACGCGACCTCACAGAGATATTTATCGTCCCGCTGCCGCTCTGCCTCTGCCCCCTCGTTCAGCTCTTTCTCCTCGGGTGGAGAGCCGCGATTTCCACCGGAATCTCGCTGAATCTCGAGCCGCGACTCCTTCGTGTGCCCTAGAAAACGACACGAGAAGGGGGAAGTGTTTTTCGATGATGATTTCGAGTTACGCGATCGATCGAGGATCGAGAAGATTTCGATTTTCGCTCGGATGATCGGGCAGAGTCGAGTAAATAAGTTTTCGTGAGAAGAAAGGAGGAGGAATAATTATTTTATCATCGTCAGAGTAAATATGCTCAAGCGATGGAGCGCGAACTCGTTCTTATTTTACCTCTTGAACTCGAACAAGCTTCAATTTATCGATTTTAAGCGATCGATTGTAAGCTGAGCAATTTACAGATTGATGACGCGTTTAACTCTTGGAGGCACAAAACTACCCATTATCCGTTAAAAAATTAAAAGCAACATTAAATCTCATATTCCCATCCCATAGTGGAGTTTCTAACTCGTTTGATCGAATTGATCTACGTTTCTCAAACTCGGTTTGAAAATACAAATACTTTTTCGTTCAATATCCTACGACTGTCGTTCAATTATTTAAATCCCATTGGTCCATCAAATAAATAAATAAATAAATAAATAAATAGATTTAAAAAAGTGCAGAAAAAGTAACAGAGTCGAGCGTTTCGGAATAACGAAACGGTAAACGAAGCTGAATTCGTTACGGAGTTCGAAACCCCTCGCTTAGCCTAGAGGCTTCGCTCTCCCAACGCTGAAAGAGCGTTACGCCGATAAAGCGAAATTCCTCCTGCTCTCGTAAAAATTCTTTCGAATAAATTCTCCGATATTATGCGACCGATAATTACGACCACGGCTCTCCCAACTCGAGAGCCGAGGGAAAATTACGAGTTCCCCGCGACGGTAATTCCTTTCCCTCCTCCGGTTCTACGCGGCTATCGCCGAAACGGCTCTTGGCTTAACCGATTTTCCGCGATCCGCTTAAATCCTTGCGCGCGGATCGAATTATAACCGCGCGTCGATCCCGCGCGATAAGGATCGAGGAACGGCGAACGCCTCGCGGCCTGTTGCGCCCCGAGAACCGCGATTTCCCGCTTTCGTTTTAACCACGGAACAGGAGGTGGGAGGAAGAACGCGGAAGAGCGTATCGCGAGGCGAACGCTAAACGCTTCTAAATGCTTCTCGAATCGACGCGAATTAGCGTTCGAGCGCGACCAACGAACGCGCTTCCGAGGTCTGGTGAAAATCGAACGATGCGAGATTAAATTACGGGCGTCGTACGGGAACGAAGAGCGACGAAGGAAGACTTGGAAAGCTTATCCGGGGCGCATTCCGAGCGAGGATCGCTCGTCTCTTCTGCTCGCGTTAGCCCTTTCAGAGAGAGAGAGAGAGAGAGAGAGGGAGAGAAGAAAGAAAAAAGGAACGCGTGGCTAATTACGCAAGACCAGTATACCAGATTGAGGAGGGAGAGAGGGATGCAGGGAAAGAACGGATGAGGAGGTCGAAGAAATTCCAAGAAGCTGGAAGAACCGTAAAGATTTCAACGACCTCCACCTACCTCCGTGGCCACGGTCCTTGGTCCTTGGAGCTGGTCGAAGGAAAGGGCGCGCAAGGTAGACGAGAAATATCTTTTCAAAGAATATCTCGAAGAGGAGGAGGAGGGAGGAAGAAGAGGAGTCGTCGCGGCCGGTGGCCCGCGTCCGGTAGAAACGGTAAACGGTGCACCGGCTTAAAGCCCGTGGAATTATCCTCCTGTAAACACCTACCTAATTAAGATTGGAACATTTTAACGTCCTGCTCGGGGACCCCAATAAACCGCCTAACGTACAGCCAGTTTGTTAGGCGCTTATGGGATCGTTTAATTAATATTGGCGTCGGACCAGCGCGGCCGGCTCGAACGACCGACCACCTCCGGCGCCTCCATGTCTTGCCCCTGTACACTTGCAACTTGCACCGTCTAACGTGTTCCAGCAGGGACCAGCTTCCAGCTTCTTTCCTCTCCCCCCTCATCTTCCTTTATCTTTCCTCCTTTTCCACGCTTCTTTATTTTTCACTCCAGCCTTCCTCCAGCCGAAGTGCAAGCGCGTTTCGCAACCCGCGATGGAAAAAAGTTGAACGTACGCGTGTCTCGAACGAGTTGTGCTCCAACCTTTCGACCGTCCATCCATTCACGATATCCTCGTATCGTCGTTACTTTCCTCCTCGCGGCCGTTGGAACGGAAACGAAGGAACGCGCGAACTGGACGAGAACGGGGCACGAGAAAGAGAAGAGAAGAGAACAAGCAACGGGCACGTTGCCGGCACACGGCACTCGGTTCTGCCTCTCTGGAAGGCGAGCAGGACGATTAATCACGGTCGCGTTTTGCGGTTTTGTCGCGCGTCACGACCCACGTGCGTTCCGCGGACCCCATTGTTCCGCGTCTAATCGTTCCAGGAACGGTGCCGAACGATCGTTCTTCGTGGGAGAGTTGGTTGACTCGCGTGTGCGCCGGTGTCCATTCACTCGCCGCGTCCATCGTGGACGACGCAACCTCTTGGCTCATTTTCTCTTCGTTCCTCTTTTACGCGATTCATTGTCGCGAGAAACTATATCGCGCGCGCTAAATCCAATATCGAACAATGTCGCCGGATCGCGTCATATCCGGATAATAAATAAAAGCGCGAACGCGGTATTCGGGGCAAAGGAACGTGGGTTAAATGGAGCATCGCGTCCGCTCGAGGTAGGCGTCTCTTATCCATCTCCTCGACGGCGATGTATTCATTAAGCCGTAATAACCGCCACGGATCGGCGGATGTCGAGCGAAATTGAATTACCACCGGAAGATCCCGCGAGGAACGGGAGGAGCAAAAATGTGGCGCGTCTCGGAGAAACGAAGAGAATTTAAAGTCCGGGGATACGAGGTTCGGTTGATACGCGGTCGGTAACTCCACGACCAATTTCGAAGGGGGCCATTTTTCCCTCAAAGGGGAACGTGGACGGCAGCTGAAAATTACCCCGGTTGGACCACCCAGTCGGCTCAAAGCAGACCAATCTCTCGGCTATGGGCTAATCGAGTCGAGACGGGCCGGCCGGTGCGGGATGGTGGGGCTAATTGCACCTCACCACCTTCCTACCCTCCAGAGGTCGACCTCTCTATTAAGAGACCTTTACGCGCTCTCCTCTCGCGCGCGCACGCACGCACGTATATATCCTCTCCGACGTGCTCTCCTCTCTGCCGCGTCACGTATTAAATTGAAGGGTGTAAGCGCGATCCTAAATTTTTTACTTAACCCCTGCCAACGAGTTTTCTCCTCGAGGACCCTCGAGGATCCTCTCTCCTCACCAGTATCTGCCTCCATCCACCCCTACGTTTATCCTTCGCCTCGTTTGCGATCATCCACGCTCTTCCTTCCACCCTTTCCTTTTCGAGAAATCGTAAAATCGTATCGTGTCAATTTTGTCAACTCGAAACCTTGAATCGAGTCGTCGATTGCTCGAAGAAGCTGAAGAACAACTCGGACGTTCGAATACGATACGAATAACGTGAACGTTTGTCCTTCGCCGATGGATCTTTTTATCCATCGATAGATACTTTTTTTTTTATTGCGGCCACTCTGTTCCCTCCCCATCTACTTCCCCTCTCCCTTCTTCGTTTCATGAACAGAATCGAGAAATTTGCGTGTACGCGTCAACGTTTTACAACTTGATAGCCTCCTAACCCAATCATCGTAGCTGAATCGGAGAACAGGGATTCGTCGAGCGACGAACGAGCCTAGAGTCGAATCGTATCGAATCCTACTCTCGTACAATAAGACGGACGCGTTAATTTTCACGTTCCACGAACGGACACGATCCATCGAAGGATGGGGCGAGAGTTGTTGTCAAAGTGGAAAAAAGATTTCTTCTCACGAGGTTTATGGCTTCCGCTATCGCCGAAACGTGGCGAGCGTGTCGCGATACGGCGCGAGCCTTCTTCCCCGGCTTTATGGTTATGCGAAATTCCTCTCTCTCCCGTGTGGTCGTAAAACTATTTTATAGGAGATGTAGACACCGGTTGTTTATTGCTTGCACGACCTCTCCCGTGTACAAGGTCGAATTACAGCTAAAAGCCTGTGTTCTACACGACGCGATAATATACGAGGCCTCCTAACGTCTCGCCGATTTCCTCTCCGTCTTTGCCGTCCACCGTTTCACATCCTCCGATCACGCGCTCCAACTTTTTTTATATCACGATTCCTTTTGTTTCTAGTTCTCTCGTACGGATTGCTGGAGACGCTCGACTTACCTTGAAGAAAAAAAGAAAAGAAAGAAAGAAAAGAAAGAAAGAAAGAAAGAAAAGAGAAAAAGCTTCGATCCCCTTTGATCCCTCGTTGCGCTTCTCCTCTTTAAGAAGCAACGATCCACGACGATTGAGACGATCGAACGATCGATTATTCGAAGATCGTGCGATTGTGGTGCACGGTTGTGGGAGAGTAACTAACGAGAATTCGGCCGGGGATACACGTTTTTTTTTTATTCGCATTTCACGCTGCACAATATAAACTTTCGTCCATTCAGTCTTATTTACAGAAAACGCGGAGAACGCAAGCGCAAGATGGGGAGGGGGAGGGAGTGGGTGGGTGGGGGAGAAATTGAGAGACGAGAGATAAGGGACGGAGAGATGATAAAGAGGCGGTGCGACGACAAAAGGTCGACGCAACAAGCGAGAAAAGCGACGATCGTTTCGCTTGCCGCGAGCGAGTAAAGCGCGAAACGCTCGAAACGAAGAAATTAAGAGATACTTGGAAAGCTTGGAACGAAACGAAACGAAACGAAACGAAACGAAACGAAACGTGTTTCAAACGATCGAACGCGTTTCACTAATCGAGCATCCAAACTACATTCGACAGCGCGACGCGTATATTACAAGTGTCTATGTAATTATTATTATGTAATAAGTAGAGAAAATTCGATTCGATTTAACGGCACGTGTTGATGGTTTTCTTGACCAGACAAGTGTTGCAAGTGACCTCGCAACACCACCGGAATCTACATTCGCAACTGATCTTCTCCTTGACGACCCTCGTGTCGTATCCCCTGCCGCAACAGAGGAGCTCGCATCCATCCACTCCCTGACTGGTGGAGTTGCATCGACGTCCCTGCGTACCCAGCGAGCCCGTTTTTCTGTTCGGCTTGCAGAAGTCGGGCGAGTCCTCGCTGTAAATCAGATCGAATCTGTCCGGCGGCTTGATGGTCGGCCCCTCGGTGATGAAGCTGTGCCCGTCGTTGCTCGGTATCACCTTGGCCGCGCCGTCGAACGACTCTTTCAGCCTGTTCCCCACGTCCCGGAACGGTGGCATTTTCCGCCAACAGGTTCGAACCGTGCACGATCCGGAGAGACCGTGACACTTGCATTCCGTGCTCATAAACTCCCTGATGGCCTGTCGGTGGTATATGGACAGACAAGAAGAAGAAGAAACGAAAGTAGTAATAGTAATAGTAGTAGTAGTAGTAGTAGTAGGCCAAGTTGGTCGAATCTCGAAGGGAGAGAAAGGGAGGAAAGTTGCGTACCAAACGACCGGCGTTATTGTTGTGCAGTTTGACCAGAGTCTTGATGTCGCTGCGTTTTCGATAAGGAGCGTCCATGAAGTCTCGCGACTTCTTGAAGCCGAATTTCACGTTGTCGCCGCAACCTCCCCACTCCCAGTCACCCTCGGTCGGCAAACTCTTCTCCATTTCGACGGTGCGGCTCAATTTGGCGAGCTTATTACCTGTGCAATTTGTGTCATTCGCGAGAAAATCCAAAAATTGTCATTGCTCGAAATGATGGGAAAATAAATAGAAGAAGAGAGGAGAGAACAAATAACGCGTTTGAAATGAATTGGCAATACTAGAGAAAAAGTTTAAGTTAGCTTGAGGCGACAATTATTGGCTAAGGAATAGATTTAGAGATCCGAGTAGATTGAGATCGATAACAGATTTCTCAAAAGAATATATCGAAAAGCGAATATTACCTTTGGACGTCATCTTGTCGCAAGAGCATTCGACGAGATGTCCCATAGTGCAGGCTCTGGTGACCGCGTATGTTACCCCGGCCGCGGTGATGGCGTTCACGAAACCCGTCTCCCTGGTATCTGCAAGTATCGGATCGATTTCGAAATCGATTAGACGTCTCTCGTCCTTTATCTCTCCGACCCTGAGAAAATATCTATTCTCTCGCCGGATTATCGTCCAAGTCGAGGAATGAAATCGGATTACGTTGAACAGGGTAATTGCAAAGGGAAGATAAGTCGATTAATCGAATATCCATCCGCTGAATAGGCGGAAACGGAATTTAATATAATTTAATATAAAGAAGAAGAAGAAGAAGAAAAAGAAAAAGAAGACTCCGTCTGGAAATCCTGGTCAGAGTTTGGAAAGAAAGAAGCGGAAGAATTTCACGGAGTTGCAGCGTGCAAAAGTTGTTCGCGACAGGGTCGACATTTCGAAGTGGTGGACGATCGTCGAAAGGCTCTGAAAAAGACTGTTGGGGGAGAATTTCGGTGGCGTGTGTATTCGGTTTCACCTGTCACGTCTCCACTCCATCATTAAGCGGACAATGCACGCCGGAGTTCCACCCCTTTTCAAAACGGCAGATCACCACCGCCTCCGTCCAACGGTTCCCTGTCACCCATTGTCTCTCACCTGTCCGAGCATCCGGGTTTTGCAAATCCCTCCTCTTCCCGACCACTTTTTTATTTCCGCGTATCCAGAACCCCACCCCTCCCTCCCTCCTTTCTCTCTCTCGCCGTTCTCTTCTCCTCTCTTAAGTTTCCACGATCCAGCTCCTTTCTCGCGCGAGAACCGATAGAATCTCGCGATTCCGCGTGGCCCGTTAACGGATTAACTTATAATCGGAAGGCGGAATGCGGGGCCAATTACCGATTCCTTTGGAGGCGCGGGCGCGGTATCGGCTCGCTCTCCGTCAAAGTATCGGGAGCGCGCGTATCTATGGGGAATCGGTGGAGTCGGGGCATTCGATCGAATCGAACGGTGCACTGGAAGCGTTTCCACGCCGCGAGGCAATTATCCTTTTCGAACGTTTAAGCGAAAACCAGTCGCGAATACTAATGCCGCGCGGCACGAAATCTCGGAGGACATCGCGAGGAAGAAAACGCGAGAGGAAACGCGGCGATGGAAAGGGTGGAACTGTGGGGAGAGGGGGAAAGCGAGGGAGAAAGAAAAGGGAAGGAACGGTGGCGGTGTGCGGTGGCTGTTGGGTCTGCGCGCGAGGCTGGGAAGAAGGGGGTTATACGCGTTAAGCTCGGTTCGCCGTGGTTCCCATGGATTCCAGCCGGGTATCTTCGCCGCGGATCGACACGCGGACGGATGAACGGACGGACGGACGGACGGAACGAGAGGCAACCTGCCACCGCCCGCGTATCTTCCGATGCATCGCCTCACCTTTCAGTGCGTATTTAAACGATACGATAGTTTTATACGAGCGATCTGATATCGAGGTTGGAGAGCGAAAGGCCCTCTGCCTCGCTTCTTGCCTCCGAGCTTGTATTCCCTCACCGTGTTCCGCGTCTCCGCTACCTGCCTTTTGCCTCCAGTCCGCTCGATCTCGATCCCTCTCTTTCTCTCTCTCTCTCTCCTCTCTCCTCTTTCCTTCGCTCTTCCGCCTCCTTCCTTTGCGATCCCTCGTTCGAGATCAGATTTTACGCAACGGGATCGTGCTCGAATCTTGTCTCCACTTCCGGATCCATTTTCTTCTCGTTTTCGGAAGAATCTCTACGTAATATTTTCGAGCCTGGATCGCGAACGAATCGGAAAGGATTCGATATTCGTGCAAAGATGGAGCGAGCGTTCGTGGCGGAGAGAAGGTAGAGGAGCATGGAGGGCTGGGAATGTTGGAGGCGAAGAGGAGCAAGCAGGTAATATAAATCACTTGGAATCAATTAGACACGAGGGATCGCGAGCCGATGATCTTGCAGTGCCGTGCTGCCAGGTGCACGGAGCGCCCATCGTCTCGGGTCGCCCCGACGGCTCAGCCAATTATCAGCATTCCGGGGCATTATCCTCGGAGCGAGACTTACGCCGTGTTTAATTGCGAGTGGTCGTCGTCGTTTTCTTCTTCTTCTCCTCCTCCTCCTCCTCCTCCTCTTCTCTTCCTCCTCTTTCTCCTTCTTCTTATATTCTCCTCCTCTCCGACTCCCCTTATTCTTGCGTCACTTCTGATTTTCGCGTTTACTCGCGAAGCATTTCGCCTCGTCAGAGAACACCGTTCGATCCAGCTTTTTCGAAGAAGAGCTTTAGAAAGAGGAACGAAGAAGAAGAGACAGACGTGGTCCGTGTGAATCTGGACGTTTGACGGTCTGTCGCCGTCGTTATCGTCGTCGTATCGTGATTCGTAGTCGCGTTCGGGTCAATGGTGATCCGTTTGCCGAGCGTCGATTATATAAGGGTGACGAGGACTCATCGGGTGATATGTATTTATACGACGAGGCTGCGGTGTCCTTTTTTGCGACACCGATCGTTTAACGGGACATTCGTAATTCTTATCCACGGATCACGATGAAACGCATTCAACCGACTCTCGTATCGACGCGTTCCCCATAAACGGATGACGTATCGAAGTTACGACGTACTCGGCGAAACGTCTCGAAACGCCGGCTATATAACCGATATAACCGACGACGGATACGCGAGCTAAAAAGTATCGGTGGAAGGAACGATTTGTTGGCGCTATCAAAACGGAGGAGGAGAGGGGTTGATCGATTGGACGGTGGTGGCGGGTTCCGAGCGAGAAGCTGAATCGTGGTTGAAACGCGACAAATCTCCGGCAATCTCGGTCGGTGATTAATCGATTCGATGGATTATGCAAGTGTGTAATTCGCGACGGTTCGCAGCCATTGTAGGAATTATGTCGCGGACGCGAGGGATCGACGCGGGAAGATAGGATCGATCGGTCTCGCCGAGTGATTTGTTTCGCCGGGTCGCGATTTATCGCGTTGGATGCGCCGATCCGCGCGCAATAGATCGGCCCCGTCTCTCGCGTCCAATCGCTTATGCGCATACGCGGATACGGCGTGTGTTTTGAATCGAATCGAGTCGCTGTCGAGACCGGATGCCGCGTTTACCCCCGCGTTTCAACGGGTTTCGCTCTAATTGCGGATGATGCTGCTGCGATTACGGGGAGGGGGGGGGGAGGGGGGAGCGTGCGCGACGAGATGGAGAAACTCTGGGGAGGGAGGGAGAGAAAAGGTAGACAAGGAGAGACAAGGGAGAAGATAAATCACCGGGATGCGTCCCGTAAATAAAGAGAGGAATATCGAATGAGAAAAGAGGCACGGCGTTTAGTTAACCCCCGTGTATACCAGATCGTACCAGAGAAACCTTTCCAATAAATACACGGGGAACGGACGCATGAATGCCGGCAAAAATCGCCCAATGACCAATTGCGGCAACGACCACTCGCCTTTTCCCGAGATTCCGTGGAATTTTTGAGCCGCGCATCGTATCACCGCTGGATTCTCTTCTCTCGCAGGAATTTCTCTCCTCTCCTGTCTCTCTCTCTCTCTCTCTCTCTCTCTCTCTCTCTCTCTCTCGCTCCTTTCCTCGCTCGACACCAGTCGTCGCCCCGCGCGCAGTCCAAGCAGCCTCTTCCCTCCGAGATACCGCGGTAATTACGGCGAATCTCTATCTATCCGTCTCTCTCTCTTTCTCCCTCCTCCCTTCCCTCCTCCTTCTCCGTCTCTTTCTCGATCGCGACCGAGGATATAGATCGTAGCGGCGTTTCTTGGATCGTCGAGGATCGAAGGAAAATTGGCGGAGGAAAAGCGAAAAGATGGACGTTTCGAGGGAAGAAATGGAGAAATGGGAGGGGGAGGGGGGAAGAACGAAGAGAGAAGGAAGCCAAGAGGGGGTATGGAAGTTCTCGTTTTCTTCTTCTTCCTTCGGTGTTCTCCCTTCGCCAACGTAAAATCGACCGAGCATTCAAATGTCACCGGCGAACGGGCAGAGTCTAACAGAATAACAGATCTGTCCCGGTGTTCCGATCTCCTTTTCCTTCCCTTCGCCTTCTCTCTCTCTTCCTCGCCTCCTTTCACCCTTTCTCCGGCTACCGATCCAAGTTAAAGCCCACGGTAGCCGAGATACAATAAACGTACGGGACATTAAACTGTTTGCTATTGTCAACCCTTTGTGGGAAATACCGGCCTCGCGTCTTCTCCTCTTCTCCTTCGAGAGGAGTACAGTCCCCTGGGAAAGTTGGATCGATCCGTTATTGGTCTCGCGAATCGATCGTGTCGCGTGTACCTTCTCTTGGAAAAGGGAAGAGAATTTGATTCGTTGGGCAATTGGACAAGAGCAACGAAGAGATATAAGAGATAATAGAACGAAAGCGAGTAATGAAAAAAAATAGGTGATGGAATAATCTTTTTTATTATCTCGAGTGGCGAAGAAGAAGGCGGATCGGTATGTGCCGCTGGTGAAACTGGTGAACGCGGACAATGGGGAAGCGTCAAGAATGAGAAAAGAGTGGACGATGACGGGGAGAAAGAGTGCTGTTCCGGCTGTCAGTAGACACCCAGAGGCGTTACTTTAGTTACGGGCAATTTGGTTCGTAGGAACGGGTACTTGGCCGCGCTTGGAAGCGAGAAAAATTAGGGTTTTCCCTATTCAACTCGAAGACACGCTTCTCTCGTAATCGACGCTCATGGCTCGTGTATTGTCGTTTCCTACGGCGAGGGTATGCGGCCACCACCTCTCTGTTGGAGAGTCATGGATAAATCGTAAAAATGTTCTTCCTCGGACCCACCGCAGACCCACCTCGTTTCCCTCTCCGCACCGTGTCGATCCCGGATCCCGTGCAATTGGTCGAACAATGAAAGAAATAACGACTAAATTCGAGGAGAAACGTCGTCTATCCAGGTCAACGGGAAAAGTGAATTTATTCGAGCGAGAATACGTAAGGAATATACGATGCAACGTACAATTATTCCTTCTTAATGTTTGTAAATGTTTGCTTTCATCTTAAATTCGCACAAAGACGAGATAAAGACAAAGCGAGCAAGGATATATTACAGATTGGTAGCAAATTCCGCTAATCGGTTCTGTGGTAACAAAGTATTGCATAGGTTTGAAAAGTGAATGTAACCTACAAAGTCTGACAGGAAATGGTTGTGTCTGGCGCGAGGATTGCGAGGATCGTTAAAGATTTTATGCAAAAAAAAAAAAAAAAAAAGTAAAAAAGAAATCGAAAATTATTCTTCCACGTAGTAATAAACTGGCTTACCTACTAAAAAGATAAAAAAAAATGAATAGTGGAAAATGATACGTTCCGGATACGGAATCCGAACAACGAATGTCTAGATTCAACGATCGGAGAGAAAATTTTGTTTCTCCGTATAGTAGCTCTCGCGAAATAAAAATGTCAACTTTCTCAAACTGCGCGAAGCGTTTCTAAACGAGCGAGGCGGAGGAATGGAGGAAAACCGATGTTAATAAACGAGCAACTCGAACGGTAAGCAACGACGTGTGTGGCAGTGTGTGTAGAGACGATGGTAAATTGACGAATATCGAAAATGGTAAAGGTGAGAGGCGCGATGCGGTGTGCGTCCTCTGCGAACCGCATTAGTTAGCACCGAGTTCGCGAGGCGACAAAACACTTAGCGCCATGGCGCTAAATCGCTTTTAGCTCGCTCATTATCGTCCCGTCCCGTTTCGTTTCGTTTCGTTTTGTTTCGTTTCGTTTCGTTTCATCTTGTCTCCGTGTCGTGTCACAAACCTTTCCTCGGGGTCTTTTCTCGAGCTAGAGAAAGGAGGTAGAGGCCGAAGAGAGCGTGTTGTTCGCGAAACGATTTGACTTGGTTACAGCTAGGCTAGGCTAGGCTAGGCTAGGCTAGGCTAGGCTAGGAGGGAGACGAATGACGCGAGAAAGGTAGATACGACGAGACTAACACACCTGGGGACCACCCGTCTTGGTCGACCGGCCGTCTTATTAAACGGGAACCATTTTCTTTATTTCCATCGGGAGAAGGTTGATACTTTGAATGTCCTCCTCCTCCTCGTTGGTTCGATCAAGAGGGGGGGAGGGAGAAATTCTCGCGATGGCTTATTCGCGAACAGGTTATTCGGATAATCGTTTACTTATCGCATCGATGAATCGACGAGTTTGAGTTCACCTTCGCAAACGATTCCGACAAGAATCTCTCCGTGTTATTCGGACGAATCGAAATAGAACACGGTAATTATCGTGGACGAAACATTGCGAAAACGAGGATCGAGAGGAATAATCGCGAAACGTGGCTCGAGTTTATTAACGCGCCAAGGTGAGCTTCCTCGTTAGAGCCGAGAAACATCGACGAAAAGAATGTTTCCGAGGCAATCGGAATATACAAACATTCCTGTGCGTGTACCGTACGTGTATCGGAGTCGCGGGGAGCACGAAAAGAGAAGAAAAGATTCGCGATTTCTGTGAAAATTTTCCGTTATAACCGTGCTATTAATTCAAACGGGTATTAATCCTAATTGATAAGAGAATTTCTCGAGAAATCGGTCGTTTACCCGTTTCGAAGCAACTCTTCGACGAGATCTCCGACGAGGATGGAATAAAATCGCCCCGTAACCGACTCCGCCTCCCCGATTCTTCGGGGAGAAAGAAATAGCAATTTGTTGATCCGAGGAGGCAGGTTTCCCTCGTAGGCTGGGTAATACCTGGTGAACGGAATCCTGGTGAACGAAGAAAACCACTCTCTTAATTTGGTCTCGGGACGGACCAAGGGGCGCATGGTATCGAGACGGAGGAATCGTAGGGCCGCGGATACCGAAACGAACGAATGCATCGCAATAAATTCCTTCCTCCTTTCCTTTCCCCTGGTAGCTCTTTCCACGGGTTTTTGACGCCCGTGTTCTTCTTATCGCGACACGCGGCACCCCTCAATTAAGAGGTGCTGCTCGTCCACCAATGTTCTACCAGTCTAACCTCGGATCTTTTCTCAACTTGGACCACACAGCGGGAGCTACCTGCGAGTCTAACCTATCGGCCAGATCGCGCCCATAAAAATTAAACGTCGCCAGATAAATAAACGTCAATCGAGAATTAAGATAGGCGCCGCCGGTAGCGTGCCTTCCACCTCGCCTTTCCTCTCTCTACGCTCGCCCGTTAGGAATTTTTCCTTGCTTCTCTGATCCACGGAAAGAGGGAGGAGGGATCGACGAATAACCGATACGTTCCCACCAATGTTTTTTCTTTCTTTCTTTCTTTTTTCTTTTCTTCCATTTTTTTCGTCCGTTATCGCCTTCGATTCACCCCTCGGTTTCCATCTTGACCTCCAATTACGATCCTTTCTCTCTCTCTCTCTCTCTCTCTCTCTCTCTCTCTCTCTCTCTCTCTCTCTCTCTCTTTGTTTCTCTTTCTCTCTTTGGATGCGATTCAATCGCGAGAGAAAAGTCGAGCAAACATCACCTTACTTACGCTCCTTAACTCGATGAAAAATTCTAGCGGATGAAATTTCGAAAAAAATCACTCTCGAATCTTTTACCTGCCATTGATTCCCGTTCCTTCGTTTGCCAATCTATTGCCGCTTCGCGATAACATTTGTACGAATGAAAATACGATCTTATCTCGCTATTCTGTAATAATACGAGGATCATCGTTATATATCCGTATAGGAAGATATACAGTCGAGAATAGATTGGAAAAAAAGTCGTATATATCTCTGACCACGGACTTCCCAGGGCGAGCTGTCCTCGCCCGGGGTCGCAGATAAATGACCACGTCGAGGATTGTCACCGAAACGACCGGTTAACACATCGCCGCCTCTGTCATCGATCCGCATCCTCCAATAATGCACCCAGGGGTTTGCCGCGTACCTGCAGTTTCGACCTTTCCCCCGTCCCGTTTCGCTCCCGTTTCTCTCCCGTACGTTCTCGGTCGATCCTCTCGAAAACGGTCGGAGAAAAACGGGAGCGGCTACCGGCCGGCTTGTAATCCGTGTCGACTGCGACCACCGGCCACCCGTAATTACAACGTTTCGTGAACGCGGCGCGATTACACGAATCTCGCGTAAAGAAATTTGGACCGCGGTGAAAGCACGGCCGATCGTTCGACCGGGTTAATTTTACGATTTCTCGGGAAAGCATAATGCAATCGGACTTTGTCGTCTTTACGACGCTGTATCGTCTTTTACGGGATACGGGGGAAGCTCGTAAGTGCCAGGTGAAACGCAAATTAGATGCTGTTCCCCTGCCTGCTCCGAGCCTCCCCTACCTAACGACCACGACGGTAGTTCCACCGATATTAACCTGCCTCGACGCGTCTCCGTGTGCGGCATCGAAACTCGATTCAGCGAATTCCATTTCGTGGCAAGAACATCGCGGCCAGCAAATATCGCCCCGTGAGAGTTAATTAACCCGTTGCCCGCTCACCCGTTCCGAGCGTCTCGAGCCCGAGCGAGAATCGTATCCCTGCATAAAATCCGATATATATATATATATCGGCAATCTTAGAGGGAGCGAACACCGATTGTCAGCCATCGCCGACAGTGTCGGATATAATTCGATCATCGATCGTTCGGCTATTCCATTCGTAGCTATGGGGCTTGCTCGACGAATCGCATCGAGAGGCAACCGCCAGGAATCACGATCGATACGATCGATCGTGTATAATCTTTCGATGGAGAGAGGAGAGATAGGGAGAGGACGAGAAAGAAAAAAGGACGAGGAAAGAAGACACGCGGTCCTCGAGGACGGTCCTCTCCCTAGAAATGAAGCCTTTAATTAAGGGAACATATTGCCACTAATATCCGACGAACAGTGTCAATCTGTCAGGCTACCAAAAGGTACCGATCTGATAGCGAGGGCTAGAGAGCAGTTCGGCCTATTGGACACGCTGTCTTCGATTTAGTTGTCGTGCTCGATCACCCGAAATTAATACATCGGACGGGTAACTAAGCGAGCCACGCGGACAGGTTCGCTCTCCTCCTCCTCCTCCTCCTCCTCCTCCTCCTCCTCCCGTCTCCTCTCGAATGCGCACGCTAACTCAACCGCGTGAGAATTTTTCTACGGACACGGGGGGGATCCTCGATCGACCCTGCCCGCCCCGTTCAATTTGTTCCATTTACCTCGGCAACCGTTCACGCGCTCTATCTTCATGGTTGTCTAAATGCCACGGAATCCTGATGATCGTCCTCCACAAATTCTTTCCCTCGCCGATCGCGTATCTCGATGATAACGGCTGAGAAGAAGTTCCACGAAACGAATTGTTCATTTATGAAATTCGAGTATGAAATCAAATGCGGCTTTTGAAAACTTGAATTGCTTTCTTATAAAATTCCAAAACTTTGCGTATTATTATATATTATCTTTTCTCCGTTCAAGATAAAATAATCGATCGTTCGATCGATTCATTGAGTTTAACGTATTTAACCGAAATTATTGTGTAAAATAGCTCGTAAATTAGCTCTAACCGAGATCGCGTTGTTTCACGCACAGTTTCGCGTTAACTCGAGTTTTTTTTAATTCGTGTAAAGCAGTAACTCTGTAATAAAGTATCATTATTAATATTATTAATATTATTATTATTATTATTAAATTGAAATCTGTTTACAAAACGGAAGTCGAAGAAGAAGAAGAAGAAGAAGAAGAAGAAGAAGAAATTACCGAGGAACGTTTATATCTTCACGGATTTTCGAGGAGCAACATAAACGTTTATCGTGACAATTTTGACGTGTGCGTAAATAATTTATTTGATTAATGGAACGAGGAGTTACGCAACCGTCTCGACAAAAACCGCTCGTCCAGACGGCTTTCCCTCGGTCGAGATAGCCTCATCGAGGTTAATTTGAAAGTAATGGCGCGTGTTCTCGACGGTAAACTCGAGTAATCGAGCATCGACAGTCTCGTCCTGGATAGAGCGATTGACGTTATATACCTCCCTTGGGTACCGATTTAATTTGAAAACATTTCATTAAATACCACGAAAGCGAACAAGTAACGTGCGAGTTACTTAAATTTAAATTCGAAACATTGCTTCTTAATTGAATTTAAGAAAGAGGCAAAGACTTTCGAAATTCGAATTCCGCCACTTACCGCGCAACAAGATCTTCCTGAGGGATCTCCTGATTGTGGTACAATTCCATCTGCGATTTCGAAATTGGTACTGACATTCTTTGGTCCCGACCTGTACCCCTCTCGCGATCTCCTTCAGCAGCGAAGGCTCTTTGCGACAGATGTCCGCCATCTTGCCCCTCAACCTCCTAGTCTTCTTGCAGATAAGCATCGGATCCATCACCACCTGATTTCCAACGGTCCTGCAAATCAAAGGGTCGAATCGATCAAGATCGATGAAGAAAAAGCGACAACAACAATGATAATTAATAATAATATAAAGCAAGATTCAAGATTTTATTTTCTCTTCGAAAAAAAATCGTCGTACCTGTGTCGAGAAGGACAAGTCGATCGTAAAGTACCAAAAGTACCAAAAGGGGGAAGGAGGGGGAGTACAAACGCGGAAAGTCAAACGCACCGAGGCCATTACGATAATTAAATCTCCATTGTGTACGCATCGTGGCAAGTTGTATACCAGAGACGGGACACGGTCTACGGGGACGAGTAAAGAACAAGCCAGAAACGGAGAGAGGACGAAGAGACAGAGAAAGAGAGAGAGAGAGAGAGAGAGAGAGAGGGGCAAAAAGAAAAGGTGAATCGAGGAGAATCACGGACAGTGGGAACCCGCGACTTCTCTCCTTCGGGAGCGGGAAGAAGAGTAGCGAGAGGGAGAAACGAAGATGGAGGCAAGATTGAGGGGAGGGAGGGGACTGGACGTAAAAAAATTGAGGAAAGAAGAGCGAAGAGGGGAAACGGGAATAGAAGAAGGAAGAATACGAAGGTAGAAAACGATCGCCTCGAGAGAGGATGCGAAGGGTGGAAAGGAGCGGAGAGTCCGAACGACCTTCGTTACGAAACGTTAATTAAGATCATTAGTTCTGCGTCGGTAGGATGCCGGGGCGCGTACACGACGGCCTCTCGGGAATGCAACGACCTTAATGGCAATAATTCCGTTAAGGACGGTTGCTCGCGCCCGTGTAAGTACGTCGGTGGTGCATCGATGCCTCCCCCCCGCTTTTCGTTCCGCGCGGATCGGGAGGAGAAAAGGGACGAGGTGGTGGTGAAGGAAACGGTCGGGCGAAGGAAACGGTCGTGCACCGGTGACATCGTCATTTGGGCTTTGGATTCCAGACCTCGGACGGCCGACTGTAACACCGGGGGGGACAAGAACGTTGGACGCGCGGGGAACAAGAATTCTCGAGAAACTCGCGAACAGCGGAGAGATCGAAATGCGCTCGCTCGGGGAAGAGAGGGATCGCCGGTAGGGAGCCGGTTGCGATCTCCCCCTCGATCTTCCCCTCGAGAAAAAAAGCTAAACGCTGCTCTCGTTCCCGAGCAAAATATGGCGCATGTTGCGTCTCGCGGGACGATCGGGCCCGTTGGCGGGGAACAAACCGAGCAAGAACTTCATTCGCCTCCTCGATATTCTTATTCCTGTCCGCTCGATACGCCATAACGGAACGCGCCACCACCTTCCCCTCCCCGACGTCACCCCGGAACCGGATACGTCACTCGGGGGAAGGAGGAGGGGGGGAGCGACCGCCGCGACGTGAAATGCGTCGTCGCAACGTTCTTAGCGTAATTGTGGTGGCCGCCTGATTTTTCGAACGAATTCTTCTTCTTTTTCTTCTTATCGGGGAGAGGAAGGCGGGATTGGACTACGTTTCCCGGAATTGGCGCCGTCGTCACGCGATTTCCCGCGTGATCCGCGGCGAATGCACACAAAAGAGGGCCGCGCGCGCACTCGGATAATGGACGCTCGGCAGATAGATATAAACGGCCGAGTTTTCCGGGAAGGCGAAAGTTATGACACAACTTTCCGTGACGACGAGCATTCGTCAAACGTCTTATCGTTGCGCTGACAAACGAGAAAAGGAACACCAACCTCTCTTACTCGCCTTTCTAAAAATAGCTCGACATCACTCGCGAGAAGAATATAACTTGTTCGCCTTCGAAACGAAAGGCGAAACGTTGGCATTTGTCGGAGAATCGCAAATGTTCCTAATCAGCCGGTAACGCGAGGAACGCGGTCGATCTTTCTCGTGACTTTCTCTTCGCACGATAGAAACATCGGTTATCGATTTGGCGAATCTTTTCTTCCTCGATGATTGATCGGGTCTCGATGATAGGATCGGGTGGTGGGAGAAGGAGAGAGATAGAGAGAGAGAGAGAGGGAGGGAGGGAAAGAGAGATAGAGAGATGGAATCCCCGCTGCGTGACACTGTTCTGACATTTACAGTTCAAAGGATCGCAGGCAAAGAATATTTGCGCTACTTCGTTAACGACCGCGCAGCTAACCTCCCAAAGTCAAATAAACTGGAAGATCGCGGTCTGTCGATACATCTTTTCCCTGTTGCGCGAATAACGTTACGACGTTATTAATGCAAACACATCGGGTCGTTTGACGAGGCGGGTATCGGTTCGTTTTCGCCGTGCTCCGGCTATTAATATCGCATATGCTCTTGCTTCTTGGTTGGTTTAGAGGAATTGGCGTGGTCAAGAACCAGAGTGGCGAGCGTTTCCGCGTAATTTATTTTCGCTATGATCGATGATCGGCTCGAGGATGATCGAGACTCGAGAGGTGGAAAGATAAGGAGGAATCGCGGCCCTCGATGGAGCAAGAGGAGCGAGGGGACAGGATAGGACAAGACAGGGGAGGGGAGGTGGAAAGGATCCGCGCGAGGATCGTAGAGCCAAGAGGAGGGAAGGGATCGTCCTCGTGTACGCGGAGGCAAGAAAAGAAACGGAGGATGGACACGTCGTCGTCGTCGTCGTCCTCGTCCTCGTCCTCGTCCTCGTCTTCGTCCTCGTCCTCGTCGTCGTCGCGAACGAAAAGCGTGGAGAGGCCGGTTAGGGCGGTCGACTTATTTATTGCCTCATTAGACGCACTCACTTTGCTCGAAGGCAGCTCCACGCTGTCTGCTCGGATAGACAGTGACGAGAGAGCAACGTTGCTCCGGCCTCGCTCTCGGCCACGTCCTCTCCGATGTTCGTTCGCGGTCGATTCGTGAGAGTCGGAAAGGGAGAGGACGATATACTCTCGATAGAGAGTATCAGAAAAAGAGAACGGGCCCGTCCTCCGGTTGCCGAAAGGAGTCCGAAGGAGAAGAAGGAACGGAACGAGGTACCCCACGAACGGAGGTAGGAGGAGAAGCAGCAGAAGAAGAACGATCGTTGGGTCCACCGGTGAATTCTTCGAATATCTCTCACCGTCCGAACGAGACCCTCGAGGATAGGAAGAAAACACGACGGAAGTTGGCAACTTCGCCTTCGAGGACATCGAGAGAGAGAGAGAGAGAGTAGGATAATCCGATCGTTTCCCCTCCCCTCAACTGTAAACCATCGATCACCCCCAAACCATCTGTCCTCGTGTCCTCGAGGGAGGAAATAAAGGGAAGCGAAAGATCTATCCGAGATACAGGGAGAGATAAATGAAATAAAAAGTATTTATAGCGAACGGAAGTGGAAAGTCACAACAGCTCTTGTCGGGTGGATATGCGCGCTTAATCTAAATCATTTTCTTATTGCTCGACGACACGAGCGAAGGCACGAGACACGGCCGCGGCGGTGGAATAGAAAGAGGGAGAGCAAGAGCGAGCGAAGACACCGCTCCTATCCCATCCTTGGTGGAGGAAACTGGTGGATCGAAACCAGCGCTCTAGCTTCTCGTTCCAATTTCGAGCCAATCGGATTCCATACGAATCACAGGTGGTGACTAAGAATAGAAGTGTCTGGAAACATGATCGGGATTAATGATAGCCGGAAAATAGCCGGGTATCGAAGGAAAAGGAGAAAATGGAGAGTCGCGAATCGCGCGCGTGTGAAGGAAAGGGAACGAATTCAACTCGAAGAAAGGGGGGTCGAAGAATGCCCGAACAAATTGATGGCAAGGGTTGAAACCGAGTCTAGGTCGCGTTTCGATCGTTTCTCTCAAGAACCTCGTGGAATTCGTGGCGCTCTTCTTTCTCGAACTCCTTTCGATCGAAGAGACGTCTCGATGCGTACGCGCAATCGCGCATGAATTCTTCAAAAGAAAAGCGTACGTAACGAATTATTCGTGGCACGCGATTTAATGAAACCCGATCGAATCTGTGCGAAGACTGTAATAAAATTAGAGTAAGATTGGATAACACGGGGGAGGGGGGAGGGTCTTAAAATTCCATACATAACGGCTACGTGGCGCGCACGCCATCGAGAAACAATTTCGAATTCTTCTGGCGGAGCGTCTAGCGTCGGGAAACGCGACTACGCCCCCGTCCTAAACATTCCACGAAAATCGATTCCGTGCTTTTGCTCGTACGGGACACGCGTTCCACTCGCGTTAACTACTCGGGGGAGAGAGAGGGGGAGGGGGAAGGGGACGGCTTGCCCCTATAACTTTTATCGTCTGCCACGTACACCCGTCCGTGAAGAGCAACCGCTTTAGACTAATCGCTCGTTACGTCGTCTGAACGCGCGTCCGCCATTAGCCAAGCAAAACGAAACGCTTCGCGACGCCACGAATCCGATAAATCTCCGACAATTCGAATGATCTCACGGATCCATGCGGCGCGGCCTTCGAAAAGAAAGAGGAGAGGCGCGTTGGAGCGCGATTGTGACACGTACGTGTTTAGCGTAATTAATTTGCAATGCAGAAAATGGAAAAGGACGAGAGAGAGGAATCGCCGCGCCGTTAACACTCAGGAGGCAGGAGAAAATTACGATTTTACGATTCGTCCTTTCTCCACGCGTTTACGCGAGAATTGTCATCGTAAACTGTCGGAATGTGGCGTAATTACAGAACGACCGAACCCAATCGTCTCTCTACGACTATGATCATTGTTAAACGATCATTTGTGTAGTGAATTCCTTTTTCTTTTCTTTCTTTCTTCTTTTTTTTTTTTTTTTTTTTCTGAACGCGATTATCCGCGCACGAAGAAAATTTATCGGACACGGTTAAGGATCAATCATCGATAAGTGGTCTTTTCTACCGACGGTTCTCTCTTTTTTTTTTTTTCCCTCCTACGATTGTATCCATCATTTGCTTATGGACACTTGTGCATTATAATTTTACACTCTCGCTTATTTAACGCGAGAGAAGAAAATACAGCGGTACGCGAAGGAATTGGAAGGAGTGAAAAACGTCGAATAGGAGTGAGAAAGAAAAATAACGCGTGCGTTCGATTGAAAGAATAATTTCAAGAATCGACGAGGAAAAGTGAAATGTCAGTTTGATGAAATTATGTCAGTTTCGAAACTTGTATTCTTACGTACACGAACGAGAATCGCTTGAAAGAGATGGTATTTCTTTGAAACATCGAAATTATTAAATCAATTTTTAAATAATAAATTATTCGCGGAACACGGGCTATTAAATGTGAGATTCCTAGGTGTCCGCGGACCAGCTTTAAGAATCGCTACTGCACACCCATCGCACTAGACAAAGAACGTATCATTTGTTTTCAGTACGCGTATGTTTCAGTGTCCTCCCCAGAATCTCGGTAATGTTGTTCGTTAGGCGATAAATCAGGGCCGGACAAAATTATTTCTGTCGTACAAGTTGGGGGATCGCGATGTCGCGCTCGAGGAAGTTGAGAACTAAATTTATCGTTTCGCTTTCCTACGAAACTGACCCTGGACAAACCACGACCGCGTATATCTATCGAATAATCCCCTCCTCTCGTTTCTTCGTCCTGTCGAAATGGCGGATCAAGGATCGGCTCGCGATTGTGTAAACGGATACGGGGGGGGGAGGGGGGGAGGAGGCGTGCGGGCCATTCGTTGGGAACGAATTTTCCGTGTTTACGATCATCCCCCTGCGCTTCCACCCCCTCTTCCCTCCCCTCTTCCCTTCTCCTTCTCCCCCTCCTTCCCCCGAGCGAAACGAAAAGATCGAGCTTTTACGGCCGCAAATAGACAAACCGGCGCAAGAGGGTACACTAATCCTCGGCGAAACTTGGAGAGAAGCGTCCGCGACGAAAATAAGCATTACGAGCGGAGGCTGACCGAAATACGGCCGGTATCGGGAGCAAACATCCACTTTGAACCGCGGTTTACGACTCCGGCCGCTTGTAGTTGCAGCGAGCCAAGAAGGAAAGCGTATACGCCGCCGCCGCCGTTAACGCGATTCGGCAGGTTGCGACGCGCTTGTGTTGCATCGTGGAACACGATGCAGGCATCCTTGTCGAGGTTTGGGGGCGGGGGAGAGGGAGGGAGGGAGACAGATGGTGGAGTATCGGTTGGCCAGGGCCCGATAAAAGCCGTGTATACGCGGACCTCGCGTCACACGCGTGCCTCTTATGATTATGAGATTGTAGCACCACGCGGGAAAGAAAGAGAGAGGCCAGGTAAGATAGAGTGCATCGGGTGGGAGTATCGGGTTGTCCAACCAGCGAGAAGGTAGCCGTGGACTGCCCACCGCGGCTCATTGGCCGACTTTGCGACCCGACCGAACGCTATCGTATTATCGGCAGCTGCTCGTTACGATACCGCGTCGTCGATCGCCGATCTTTGAACACCTTTTTCTACCTGCCCGTTCGTTCGCGAACGCTCGCTTCGATTGTTCGGACGGAAGAAAGTAAGGACGCGAGGATTCTGGTTGGCAATGATTAGCCAGCCGTATATACGTACACGCACGCATATAGGTACACATATACACACGCATAAAGAGGAAGGTCGTCGGTTTCGTTAACGGTCTAGGTCAGGCGACGATCAATTAGCGAGCGCGGCACGCTTCCCACCTAGGCTAGAGAGAGAATTAAACGAGCGAACCGTGTCATGTGAACGATACACGGCCCAATTAAATGGAACGGTGCTCGACGGTGACGGCGATACCGCGGCGCGAGCGCAAGTTTCGAGAGCGCAAGGACGCGGAATGAGCGGAATGGACGAGAGGAGAAACGTTTAAGAATGCTGGAGCCGAATCTCTACTATCTAAGAGGGGAACGGGTCCCTCGATTTTTCTGTTTCTGAGACGACGACGACGACGACGACGACGAGAACGACGACGACGGGTCGCGGTCTGGCCCCAGAGACGAAGAGGGATCGCGCGCGCAGAGAGAAGGAGGCGAGGGGCTGCTGCCGACTTACAAATTATACGCGCTCAACGAGATTTACGGGTGACGCTTCGAGCGAGACCATTGTCCATCCTCGCTCGTTTCTTTACCTCTTTACTCCTCGACTCGGTCGTCTTTGTCCACCTTTGGATCCCGCTGCTCCGCGTGTCTCTCCGCGCTACCGTGAAACGCGGCGTGGAACCGAGAGGGAGAGTGCTCTCGAGAAGCGAAGGCGAGAGTGAGCGAGGGAAACGGTGGAACGGTGAATAGTATTCCTCGCGACAAAATCGAGGAATCTCGATCGAGAATCCGGTTCCGATCGAGTAATCGGCCCTCGATTCGAACGAACCAACGAACCAACGAACGAAAGGGAGAGCGAAAACGCGTAGATGGACGAAACGCTTCCTTTTCGCCCGTGCAATGCCGCGAGATGCCAGCGGAGAGCGTCTCGACGAGAGGGAGAAAAGGAAGAAAAAGGAGGGGAGGGAGAAAAGTTGGAAACGCCCGTGACTCCGCGAACACATTCCTCGGAACCTACTTAAATACCTGTTAAATACCTGTCGTCGAAACAAACCACGAACCTTCTAATGTATTTATCAAACACTCCGTCGTGTGGACGTCGTGGACAGGTAAGAGAGCAAGGTGCGACGGTACAGTGTCGACTGCGCGCAGAAATCCCTTTTAAATCGTTGACAAATATTTGCTCGACCTTAGAAGAGACCACCACCATTCGCCACCTTCGCCACGGTAACTATACACCTTCGAATTTCAAAGCGAGCAAGCCTAATCTTTTCCGTATCTCTCTTATCGTGGTCCCCTTTTCAACAAAAAAAAAAAAAAAAGGGAGAAAATTTCCCAGACTTCTCTTGAAGAAACTCTTGACGTCGGTCATTTCGGGGAACGCGAAATTGGAAATGGAAATGGGAAGGGTCGAGCGAGCGTATACAACGGCGCGTAACGGAAGAAGATGCGAAGATTTCGCGAGATGACGCGTTTCTGGATTCTGTGTTGGTACCTCGGTTGGTAGGTTGGCAGGATAGCGATAACGGTCTATCGTCGTACAAACATTTACATAATAAACTGGAGTACACACGGTGCACTCGAGCTACCGAATAATTTATCGTCGTTCGTGATATCTCGCGAGTACGTAACGCGATTACGAGATACGCGTCACGCGCCAGTTACGAATTCGCGATGTAACGCGATGATGAGACTCCCTCCCCTCCCCTCGCTCGCTTGGTCTACGAGGGCGACGCGTTATACGTGCGTTATACATACGTTATATACGTGGATTTCGAGGCACGAGAGGGGCAAACCTCTCCTCTCGGCTGTCAATCTGCCCGGTTCGAGGCTCGAGGAGGAAGCCGAGATTTCCCGGTAACGGTAACGAGCAATTTAAGCGAATCGAAATGAAACCGTAAATCTCGGGACAGGTCTTACTTACCAGAGCGCGAGCAACTACCAAAGGTGGATTTATGGCGTCATTAATCATTCCGCGTGCGCGTAACGTGCCGCGTAATTGATAACCCAGATGACGTACTTCAGAACTGGAGCACTCGTTAGTTCGTCACGTTTGGAAAGTACTGACGTTAACCGCTCGCGGAGTGCAACTATTTTTCACATAATTACCTACATAAAAGTGTAACGCGTTTGATTACTCTCTTTCTCTCCCTCCCCTTGCTCTCTCATCGTGCCAGTATAAAACTGCGAAAAGAGAGCACAATTGCTCGAGACGCGTGATCAAAGAATTCGTTCTCCTCGAAACCTCGCAAAAAGTCACTCGCAATTAACGAAAAGTACCTTTCTCTCTCTCTCTCTCTCTCTCTCTCTCTCTCTCTCTCTCTCGGTCGAGATCGAGGATGATAAAAAAAAGCGTGCAATTTGGAACGGATAAACGATCGGATGGTACGTACCAGAAAGAGCCGGCGATGGGGGTAACGAGAAGGAGGCAGATCGCCACGAGAACGAGGCGCATCTCCATCCCCTCCGCCCCTCGGTGGTGTAACTTCGACAATTGCCGATCGCTTCCCTTCTCTGAAGGCCGTCTGTGTCCCCTTGATCGGATCGGAAGACGATCGTTCTCGACTCGTGAGAGCGAATATCAGTTGGAAAATGGTGGCGGTATGTCGGAATGTCGTCTTGCGTTTTCACAACCGTGCCGCTGAACGCCACTAAGATTCCTGACCTACGAAACCGGCGAAAAAATTGGATTGTGACTTGCGTTACGCGTGACGTATCGATATCTCGGTAACGCGCGATCTCGGCTCACACGTGCTCCTTGGAAAAAAATTATTCCGGACGATCCTTTTCCCCGATCTCGAAGGAGAAATTCTTTATCGAGCACCCGATCTCCTCGACCGTCCACTCTCGACTACTTTCTCGTATCTGGTCTTCGCTTCTGCCGACACTTCACCGAACCACGATCGTTTTCTTCTTCTTCTTCGGCCAAGTTGCAGCCCTCTTCTTCCTCTTCCTCCTCCGTCTGTTTCTCGGCTTCTTTCTTCTCCAGCTCTTCGAGAGTACACCGCGATCAAAGCGAAAGAGCCTCTTTGAGATACACGAACGGATACAAATATTGACCGCGCGAAATCCTCATGATCTCTTTCCGGGCCACTGGGAAACCATGAAAAAACAATCAAATTTTCTCGTTTGCTTTGACTGACGGCGAATGTAATCTTTTGGGCACGCAAATGGTCCTTATCACGATCGAGAAATTCCCGGAAGAGAAACCCTCCGCTTCCGGTCTCTTTAACTAGATATCCCCCACCACCCCTTCACTCCGCTTCTTCCCTCTTTCGTTTCGTTTCGTTTACTTCCACTCGATCCCGCTACTTCTCTTCCGCCTATCTTTTCCAATCCTCTTCTAGCCTCGCCTCGCCTCGCCTCTTCTTTTCTCTTCTTCTCTCGCTTCCTTTTCTAACCTATATTCCAGAATCCTTTCGTGATTCGAATCCGCCTTCTTTTTTTTCCCTCTCGTACTCTCGTACGTTCGCCTCGATGAAAAACACCAAAGATGAGACGCGATCAGAATCTAGGAAGCTGCTATTTCCTTCCGGCGGGGACAAAAACGCGTCGCGTTCCTGCCAGAACTACGTCACCACGAACTTTGAGTGTTGCCTTACCCCCACCAGAAATGTACTAAGGAGTAGAGAAGACAGCCCCACCATTCACCTTCATCTGCTTCTTTCTCTTCTTCTTCTTCTTCTTCTTCCTCCTCCTTCTCCTCCTCCTCCTCCTCCTCCTCCTTCTCCTCCTCTTCCTCTTCTTCTTCTTCTTCTTCTTCTTCTTCTTCGTTCTCTTCTTCTTTTAGTTTTCGCTTCGTCTACTGCTTCCTTTCCTCCTCCACCTCCACCTCCACCTCCCCTCCCTCTCCCCCTCCCTTCCCTCCTCCACCTTTTTAACCGATTCCTTTTTCGGCTTGCCTCGATACACCACCATTACCACCTTCACTGCACCACCACCGTCGACGAACGTCGACGTCGTCGTCGTCAATCGATGATATATCCTTGCCGATGATATTTCCCGTGGACCGTGCAACCACCGAAAAAAAACGTTTTTTCCTTTTTTCTACGGAAAAGAATCCGAAGCGAAATCGATCCAAAGCGAAAAGCAACGAATCTTTTCGAATTGCTTTCGAACAAAAAAAGAAAAAAAAGAAAAAAGAAAAAAGAACTATATATTGAAGAAATACAGCGCGGATAAACTCGTGGAGGCAAGATGGTGAGGAGAAAGATGGTGAGAAAAGCGGGGAGGGAGCGTGGGAGTGATGAGGGGTCCGGAGAAAAGGGTACCGGAGGGTAGGAAGAAGGTCGAAAAGCTCACGTGGTGCAGCGCGATCGTGCGGAGGTGGAAAGTGGCCGATGGTAGGGGAGAGGAGAAGAGATTCGTTCGTCCGTGATCGGAGACGAAGCTCCTGGTCGGAGCGAACCGTACGAGACTGTTGTGGACTAGGCAGGTGAGCGCCGCTCGGCGGCAACGAGACGCAACCGAGCCCCTCTTTTCCTCTTTTAACTCTCCTACGAGAGAACCACTCGACTCCTCTGTACTTCGCAACCTGCCGCTTCGGGATCCACGCGGAGGGAGGACCCAAAGCGTACCGCGCTACCTTTTGACCCTTTCGTTTCGAACGTTCCCGATACCGATTTCGCGATTATCGTCCAAACTCCGTTGAAAGTTGAAATTTCTTCATTTTTTTTTCTTTTTTCTTTCTCGTAGCATTCATCGATAAAACGCTTTTCTTTCGAGGAATGGATCGAAATGATCCAAATCAAGTTTGCAATCTGCAAACTTTTAGAGATTATTCGAGATAGAAGAAGAGGTATCCACGTATCATTTATAATTTATAATTTAATTCGATTTATATTCGATCTCTTTCTTTTGAATTTCCTTACGAAGTCGATTCGGTTTCTTTGTACGATCGATAATTTCAAGATCCGCGTGGAAATAAAGTCAGACTATGCTTCTGTTGATCGCTTTCGTTTCGAATCGAATATTTTTGATTTCATTTTAATTCCTATAACGTATAAATTAATTTAATTAATTTGCAATTTTTCGTTTCACGATCTATGCAAAGAAAAATATGCACGTTTCTGGTACAGACCATCGATAAACATAGTTTGCAACGTAGAAAATAAGAGATAACAATAAGACTCTCGGTCTTTTTTCAAAGAAAAAAAACGTGTTCTTCTCTTTTGCTCGTTGAAAACGACACGCACGGCCGAGCAAATCCTTCTTCCAACCTTCTATTCTTTCTCATGCCCAGAAAGTGTGTTGGAGGAATATTGGTGGATTAGCTGGCGCCACCTCAAAAGATAAATATCGATTACAATGACATGCTCTTTGCCCTCTTCTGGGAAGAGAGCACTGTGCAATCCGATCCAGAGCGAAATTTACTTCGACAGCTTATGAGATCATTGTAAACAGCTCGGTACCAGTTTCTTCTCGGTTGGTCTCTGCTCGATCGTGTATTTCTACTTCCTCTGTCACGTCCTTCTCTTTCGTCCGGATCTCTGCCACTGGCTACCTTCTTTCCTCTCTTTCATACCTCGTGTCTCGCTACACAGCGGAGGCGCATCGTACAGGACGGTATCAAGGGTTTAACCTGTCGGCGTGTGGCTACATTCTTTTCATCTCTGCCGCCGGGAAAGAGCCGTCGCATTTACAACAGAAACGTTCACCGATCTTGATCCTGTTCTTCCTCTTTTTTAAATTATTTACTTATTAACGGGACGAATCCCATTAGCGTACAAACATGAAAAAACAAGAGTTTAATATCGGTCCGAGCGAATGTGAATAACAATATAGCGATATAAGACAGAGATTTTCAATCGCGAATTGAACAATTAATGAATTTATGGTATGGAGAGAAAGAAGATTTAATTCAGGCATAACGAAATAACGAATCGCTCGAGAATAACAGTAACGAAAAAGATCAATTGACGATTGAACATTGTTGGCGTTAATGAGCACACGTACGGTTGAAATTATAATAATATTCACGGAATACAAAATATCTTTATTATATATGATATAAAAATAAAAAAAAAAATAAACCTCTTTTAAAAATTTCATCTTAACTATTTAAATGATTATCTTCTCGCATAAAAGAATTTTCGATGTATGTATATATAATCGAAAGTTGCATTTTCACAAATAACTGACAAGGAATATATTTAACTATGAAAGCTTAAGGCCAAATGGAGAATCTCACTCACGTAATGATTGAATCGA